GAAGAATGAAGTCCTTGACAACTTCAATCTTTTCTCCGTTGATAAGAATGTTGTTTATTGGTCCAGTGGTGAGGATTTTTGTTTTCTTTATATTGAGATGTAATCCACACCGAAGACTGTGCTGATGCTAGTGCTCCTAGCTCTGGAGGTAGAGCCAGAGGCCCTATCCATAGAAAGGTCCAACTGAGGCAATTCATCTGGCGAGGGACCCCAGGCAGGGCCTTGGCCAGGGGTTTCAAAATGCTGAATGTTCCTTCCCAGTCCTTCCTGGTATCCAGCTCACAGCAGCGTGTCATCTCCATGGGATGTAGTAAGGTTCTTTTAAAACAGGGCAGAGGTCTCATTGATTGGATTCAACTGACTAAAAGAGGAAAGGACTTGATAGGATTGAAAGGAAGGTTAATTGATGTAACTTAAGAAGAATTTAAAAGACACAACAAAAAAGATGATTGTTGGATATGCATAAGAAAATATGGGCTTTTGATTTTGTCAAGAAACACTTATTCATTTTAGGCCCTGCTCTCAGAGCTTCCACTCCTGTCAGAGAGGATAATGAACTGTTAGACAAGGCTGAATGAAAACTTTGTGCTGTAGGATTACTATTAAGAAAGTGATATCAGATTGAAGGAAGGTAGACATGTGGGTCAGGCAATCAGGATGCTTCTGTATTTGAGATCAGTATTGAAACTTTGTCATCAGGAAACGATGAAGGAGTGCATGCACGTGGAGGGAAAGGCTAAAAGTGCAGACACAGAAAAGCTTGCTGTATCTTCTGGATGTTAGGTTGCAAAATGATAAGATGTATATTGCAAAATGATAAGAACAAAGACTGGAAGGGTATGTTAAGTTAGGCTGTGGAGGTCATTAAAAGCCAGTCTAATAATAATGTGTTCTTTAAATGGCATTGGGAGCTATTGAAAAGATTTGAATATAGGCATGGTGTTAATCTACACCCACTATTAAACATTACAGTAGTATATATGGTAATAGGAACTGAACTAGTACACTGATAAAGGCAATAGAAAGTGGTATAAGTGTGAGACGAACAGATTACTGGATATTTCTAACATGACCTCAGAATGAAATAAAATAAAATTCATTACAAAATGTATAGGTATACCTCAAAATTTTTGCAGGTCACTTCCAGACCACCATAATAAAGTGAATATCACAATAAGTTGAGTCACACACATTTCACATTTCTTTTTGTTGTTTTCCCAGTGCATAACAGAATTATGTTTGCATATTCCTGTAGTCTATAAAGTGTGTGATAACATTATGAAAAAGTTTGAAATATTGTGAGAATTGCTGAAATGTGCCACAAAGACATGAATGATGCCAATAGACTTAATTGATGCAGGGTTGTCACAACCTCCAGCAATTTGTATAAAACTGGAATCTCAATAAAACCAAGTACAATAGAAAAAAAAATGGTGTGGGTAAAACTGGAAATCTATTTGAAGAAGAATGAAACAAGAACCATATTTCACACTATATGCAGAAATGAACTAGATATGAATTAAATACCTAAATGTAAAACTTAGAACTATGTAAAGATCATCAATGAGAAAATAGAGACAACTTTAGTGGCTCTGATGCTTGTCATAAAAAATGCTCATGGTCATTAGCCATTTGCTGTTGTTAGGTACCATTGAGTCATGTTTCTGAGGTTGTAAATCTATACAGGAGCAGAATGCCATTAGAAAGATGCAAATCTCACTCAATGCATTTGGTAGACTATTCTTCATATTTGGAAATTCTAGAAGAAAACATGAGAAAAGCCAACAGATCCTCTTAGAAGAGGTCTCAAATTATTTACATGATATCAAAAGTGGGGTAGAATAATATTTAGTGTTACTAGAGTCTACATTGTAAGTAAGATTGCCATGATACTTAAGGTGTTATGTCAATTGGCCTGGGTCAGGATATTCAATGGTTTTGCAGTCAAGATATAGTTATCACATTAATAATAAGATCTAATATAATGCAATCAACTTCACAGTATAATTTGATGTGATGAACCCTGATATGTTGTGATTATCCCATGTGTTGTATACCTTCACTACTATTTTAATTGTTATTAAGTGTCATCAAGTCAGTTCCAACTCATTGTGACCTAGTATAGGGTTTCCAAGGAGCGGCTGGTGAACTTGAATTGTTAACCTTGTGGTTCAAACTGACCTTGCAGTCCAGCGCATTAACTCTCAGCACCACACCAGGACCCCTGATATTAATTAGGACAGATGAAATCTATAAGATTAGACTGCGTCTTGAATCAATCTTGTTTGTGATATAAAAGTAAAAAAAGTGAGATGAGCTCAGAAGGACCTACTATGACCAAGATAGAGGAGCAGAAATGGAGTGTGTTCTTTCAAACTGGATTGCCTGCACTGTGAAACTCCTAGATCCAGGGGAAGATTGATGCCAAGATATATGCAGATTCCAGGCAATAATGGGTCTGTAGACACTGAAAGGAGATAATGACCTTTCCCCAAAGCCAACAAATAGAAGGCCTTTGCCCAAGAAGCTACACTCTCAATTTGTACTTCTAAATTTCTAAACCACGAGAGAATAAATTTCTGTTTATTGAAACCACGCATTTGTGGTATTTCTGTTACAGCAGCATTTGGTAAATAAGACAGTTACCTAACTAACCAGAAAAGATAGAAGCTGTGAAATACTTAAATTTACTTGGATCCAGCATTACAACTCATAGGAGCCACAGTCAAGAAATCTAAGGATGTATTACATTAGGCTAACCTGCTGCAAAGGACCTCTTTAAAATATTAAAGAACAAAGATGCCACTTTGGGTTAGGTGTGCCTGACCAAACTATGATATTTTCAATTGTCTCATATGCATTGAAAGTTGGATAGTGAATAAGAAAGGTTGTAGAAGAATTGATGCATTTGAATTATAGAGAAAAGATTGTAAGTACTGTAGACTGCCAGGGAAGAAACCAATCTATCTTGAAAGGAGTACAATCAGAATGCTCTTTAGAAGTAAGGATGTTGGGACTTGTATCTTGTACTTTGGGTATGTTGTCAGGAGGGACCAGTACCTAGAGAAGGAAATGGTACTTGGGAAAGTGGAAGGTCAGCAAAAAAGAGGAAGATCCCCAATGTTATGGAATGATACAATGGCAGCAACAATGGACTCAAATATAACGATAATTGTGATGATGGCAAAGTACAGACAGTGTTTCATTCTGTTGTACCAGGGGTTGTTATGAGTCAGCAGAAATTACTCAATGTCACCTAACAACAACAATAACAACAAAAAATCATATAATAAAATAATAGCTTGCATTTTAATTTGCAATTTCTATGTGGTGATAGTACTCCTATTATTATATAAAAATCAATATATGAATAGATTTAGTAATTTGTTCAGTGTCTTACAGATAACATAAAAGTTAAGAGATATCATCATTGAAGTTGAAAAAAGTATAAAATAAAAGGAATACTGTTTTTTAGCATTCATCAGTGGGTTCTGTGAGTAAAGTAGCCCTTTAGTTGAAAATATGCATTGCTGGCAAATTGTGGCATGACTTTAAAAATGCAATTTTAATTTTCATCAGATTTAAGTAAGGTTAAACATACCTTCCTCTTAGCACCAATATTAGTATATATTTCAAAAATGCGTATGTTCTGAAATATGTCCAACTCATTTCACATTCTCAGTTTATATGGATTATTTTCATTTTTAAGCCTGTTAGTAATAATACATGCATACCTCTGTTCCCTGAAGGGAAAAATAAAGTGACTTCAAAAAGTCCATAGAAAAATTCCATTATCTTTTCTTTCTTTTTTCCCATGAACATTTGAAGCCCCTTCATATATAACTCTTAAAATTTATATTTTGTAATCACTTATACCACTTTCACAGATTCCTGGTGTGGTGCTGTAGGGTAAGCACTGGACTGCTAACTACAAGGTTGGCAGTACAAAATCACCAGCCTCATCTTGGTAATCCTATGTAGGGCCCACTGTGGGTCGGAACTAACTCTATGGCACTTAGCAACAACATACCATTGTCACATTGACTCTTTTTGATTTTTATATTAGAATGACTAGGTATCATGAACTCTAGGTGCATTTATTGTGAATATATATTGTGCCAGATATGATTGTTCAATTTTTTACATTTAATCATTTTGTCAATTATTTTAGTTTTGTGACTGGAGCCCTGGTGATCAGTGCAAACTGGTACACAATTCTGGAAAAAAGCCAAATTGTGACTCACTGAAAAAATGCGGTGGACATGGGGTATGTAATAGCTGCTAAATTTTGAGTATAGTCAGTTAACTCATATCAGTAACATATTTCAGGATAATAAGAAAGTTTAGAATTATTTGATGTGATTATTTTGAAAAACTAGTTCAATAAGGAAAGTTGATTCTAACATTTCTATATATGTGCATGAATTATAGCTTTTATCTAATTTTTATAGACTTCATAAGCTAATAACCCTTAAGGTATTTATAAAAATTAAATATGAAATATAAAGTAGTTTGAAATATTAGGTTAGCATAACCAACTTTTACAAATGGATTTATTAAGATTTAAATTTCTCACCTCGTAATATAGAGGAAAAATTATGATTTTGTTTCTCAAAAAATAATAATAGTAATTTCCCATTAATCAAGACAGAGCTATGCAAAACAGAACTTAAAAATCATTTGTATATTTAATTCCCAGGAACATCTTGGTTTGGTACAATCCTAAAGTCAAAAGTTATAGGAGGAAATCTAACTTTATTATTTTGCATGTGGATATTTCTTTTGGAAGCATCGTTTGCTAAAGATACTATTACTTTCTGATTAAAGGGATTTGGGGCCCTTATTGGATATCAATTTACCAGAGATGTATAGATTTGTTTTGGATGATCAGTTTTATTGCATTGGTCCATATACCCATCCTTATACCATCATCACACTGTTTTGATTACTGTGTTTTGTTTTGTTTTAAATGCATGTTGAACTCAAGCAGTATAAGTCCTTTTCATATGTTCCTCTTTCTCAAAATTGTTTTTGACTATTCAGGGCACTTGAGGTCCCCAGTAATAAAAAAAAAAGATCAGCTTTTTTATTTCTGTAAAAAATGGCTGTTGGTATTTGAGTAGGAAATTAAATCTTTTTGGTTAGAATAGATGTCTTAACAATACTAAGTCTTCCAATCCATGGACACAATATCTTCCCATATATTTACAATTCCTTTAATTTCTGAAAATAGTATTATAGCATTCAGTCTGAAGATCTTTAATACACTTAATAAAAAGTTTTCCTAGAAATTTTCAACATTTTGAGGCTATTGTAAAAAGTAATGCTTTCAATTTCCTTTTCAAATTTTCATTGTTGATATATGGAGACACATGATATTTTTGTGTCTTCATATTTCATGCTGCAAATGTGCTGCATCTAACAAGTTTCTTCATATGTTTTATATCTATATGTAATATATAGTTGTTGTTAAGTGCCATCGAGTCAGTTCCAATCCATAGCAACCCTGTATAGGGATGCCAAGAAGTATCTGATGAGCTTGAACCACTGACCTTGCAGTTTAAAGTGACTGTATATATGTTGTTATTAAGTGCTGTCAAGTTG